TAGCTGAGTGATACTTATATTGACAATTGCAATTATATATTTTCATAGGATTAATATTACAACAATATATTTAAAATGTCAACTAGGTCAAGAAAAATTATAAACCAAATTACTTTTTCTTTAGAATCAAACCAAACTATTTCAATACATAAAGCACTAAAGAGGGAACGTGGTTATGTGAGATTGATGCATTCATATAAATCAACCTACTAAATTGGGATCAATTTAATGTTACCTATACTTTTACTCAAAAAAAAATCAATGGTATCATATTATATCATATTATGTTATATTGTAAGTTTAATTATTGTTCTATAAATAATTGTATGTTGGGTTTGTAAAGAGTACAAACAAGGTCCACATTAGTTAGGGACAAGAGAATGATTCATGGTATATAAATGAGCACAATTATCTTCATTGGTATAAGACATTTTGAGTGAGACCAAAAGCAAAGCCGTAAGGATTATACCAAAGACAGATAATATCATACTATTGTAGAGATATTCAAGGGGACTAGAAGACAGTGAATCTTTGGATGCGAAACAAAGAAGTTGGCTTTGGACAAGAGCAAGCTCTCATTCTAGTTTGAAAGTGGACGGATGGTTGACTACTTGAGGAGAGAGAGAAGAGACTAATCCATACTATATAGATGAAAATATCCTATCATTCTAGGGGTACCCGTTGTCCATGAAAAATTATATTTCACTATATATTGCTTCTTTGAAAAATAGCTAATATGTTTATTTTATTATAACATTTAATTATAAGTCAAGTCAATCCAATTAATAAATGTAAATAAATTGTGCACATAATTATTCATGCTAATAAGAAAATAATGATGATGATGTCTTGGTGTAAATTTATGCGAAGATTATTATATTTGCCTATTTGGCCGCGACAAGTTTTTTACTTTCTTTTCTTTTTTGACGAATTGGCCATGTTTGAGTGATGTTTGGATGCTTTTGAAAGAATCTACGAGAGAATTTGTCATTGTTTTAAAGTTAAAATAAAAATAAAATGTTTCTCTTTCACTCTATTTTGGTCCAAATTTTTGGAATTATTTCTAGAACTTTTCTAATTCTCTCTCTAATTTTATTAATTATAACTATTTTTTCCACTCTCTAAAATTTTTATGATCTCTCTAATTTTTATCCTCCTCTCTAAGTTCCATTCTTATATAACTTTTGCCCTCAATCTTTTAACTTTTCTTCTCTCTTTTATTTGATTATTTTGATTATTCTAAAATCTCTTTTGAAAATATCCCTTAGGATATATTCGAAAGTAATTTTTTCATAGTCAGCTAAAATCATTCACACTAATATTAAAATTACTTTCGTTTTAAAATATATATATTTGGAGATGATTCTTTAAGTGAATTTAGAAATCAGTGAGGAGTTTATTCCCAAATATTTTTTATAAAAAAATTAATGAAAAATTAGTTTTTAAAATAGTTAATTGTTTTAAATTTATAATTTATTTTCCTGTTTAATTAGCCTCATTTTTATCTTAAATTTTCAGAAAAATATTTTTTTTACTCAATTTTTTGTCTTTATCTAACTTTATTTATCTATAATTTTGTTTGTTCTCTCTTTTTTTAGTCTCTTCTCTTTCAAAGTTTATTTCTCTCTTTAAAATTTGTCTCTCACTCTCTAAAATTCTGTCTCCCACCCCCTAGAATTTCCCTCTAAGACTTTTGTTACCCTCTAACTTTGTATCGCTCTAAAACTTTTGTCAAATTCTCTCTTCAAACTTTAAATATTAAACATTCAAAATCACTTGAAAGAGTGACGTGCAGCAAAACGTTTAAATAATTATATAAAAATTGTTAGAAGTCAGAGCGGATCCAGTCGTCAAGCATAGTAGAAGCACACGCTATAAATAAATTAAGTGGATCTCGATAGCAACTTTTAATTTTAAAAAAAAATTGGAATAATAAACTATTGGGATCGAATCTCTTACCTTTAGGTAGACAAAGGTAGCTTAGATGATGGAGTACTCCATGCGATCTTCCCAACTATCCTCGATATTCAGTGTGTGGGCACCTTTTTGGGAGACAGAACATTCTTTCTTGGTGGCTACTAGAGAAGAGAGATTAGGGAGAATTATCTTATGCTAGTTTATGATTTTGCCTATAAGTCTCTTTATATAAACATTTGGCTAAAATTCTAATTGGCTAATTAATTCTCTGATTAACTATTAAAATATTTTTTAAAAAATCATTTTAATTTTCTTGATTAATGTGCTGGCTCCATAATAGATTTTGGTTCATGAAATCCATGAGACCAACTAAGTAATATCCAATTAAACTAATAATATTAATTCTATTTATTTTTTTAAAGCCAAATTAAGCATTTAAATTTTAAATTAAATAATCAACATCATTTATCGACCTGCAACTTTGAACTCTAATGATCAATAATTGATTAATTAAACTTATTAATTAATCAATTTTATCATTAAATCGAGGTGACTCCACTATAGATTAAGGGTGTTGCACTCTCATGCATTGCATATGAGTTATGTGCACGAATATAATTATATCCAATTCTTTTCCTTCACAAAGTGATTCATGGTTCCAATTGGACACAATTATCGTTTTACTCCTAGTCTCAACTCTTGCTCCTAAAGTCTCAATGGTTCTCTAATGAATAGTTTTTCGTGATTTCATTATGGGTAATCCTTCTTGGGTATCAAGAAGGTAGATACCCAGTATCCAAGCACTTTAGAGAATTCACTTATACATTCACTCAACAAGGAGAAGTACATACTTTGCACTGTCTAAATACTAAGTGGCTGCGAATTCTATCTTTTGTGTATGGATTTTCCCAACTCCCCAATTGAGTATGTTCCAAAAACAGTATGCTTATTGAGCGAACATTCTAGTTACTCCCACCCATGTGAATCAAATAACACACTCACATAGTTTATAGTTCATAACACACTTAGGGATAAGATTAAAATGAGTATATAATCATCTTAGTGATATGTTTGTAATTTTCTATGACAGTATTATAAGAAAATACAAGTAATGGCGTGATCTAGTCTTATACAAACTCATTTAATTAGTTTCTCACACTCGTATGTCTTCATATGAACGATTATGATTAATCATTTGTAACTTTTACAAAGTAGATTGCAATAGTGTTACTAAGATAAGGTACACCCAACTTTATTTACATATTGTAGACTCTTTAAGTTACTACTTGAATATAATTCTTCTGTAGGTCAATTTATACTATTCAAGTTTATACTATTGACCTTGAATTTTCATAAAATAGATGTACAAATGTACGTAAAAATAGTCAAATTATTTAATTGATAAATGATGAGGTTTAAGTATAAATCCAAGCACTTTCCCAAAACAACTTATTCTAAAATCACTCATTTTTAAATCATTCCTAAATATACCTTTAATCATTCGATTATGCTTTTAATTATGTTAAAATAATTTTTGGAAGTGTCAAACTAAATATTATAATGATTGACAATAATGAAACATATTTTACCAAAGTAATTATAACTAAATCATTTGATCACTAATTTTCTCTCTCTCTAAAATATTTATCACTACCTCTCTAACATTTTTTCTCTCTCTCCCTAGTCTCTATAATATTCTACTATATTTTAACTTTGTTTCTCTCGTTTTGTTTGATAATTTGATGACTCTAAAATTATTTTTTGAAATAAAAATCATTCAAATATACTTTTAATCATAACAAAATTACTTTAAAAATGTGGACGGTTCACACATTAAAATAATTTATTATTAAATATATTTTTATCAAAGTAATTGTAATTAAATTATTTTTCACTAAAAGCATATGTTCTAAAATCAGAGTGAAACATGTTCAAACAATACATCGGTATTATTCATTGCCTAATCATTTTCGTTAAATGTTGGATGAAACCAATGGTTGATTATTTAATGTAATGTCTTTTATTTGAACAGAAAATGGCTAAAAATATGATTGATGAGCGAGTTTTATCGTATATTTATCATAGTTTAATTCCAAATTTGTTATAACTTTACTATTTGATTTTGATGGGTCTGACTTGACTCAAAATAGTTCTTCTTTAGTGGGCTGAGCTTCTGAAGTAGAAACAACCTTGTGGAGGCCCATTATAGAAAGGCCCAATTTTAATGTTTTATTCGATGTAGGAGAGCAAGAAATGAACCTACCTAAAAGTAGAATCAGATGTTTTTTTAGTACAAATAAACGAGGGTACGGAATTTGAATTCATGACCTTTTAGTGCTAATTACCATTGATTGGTGAAGAATTAAATGTTTTTTTTTTTTTGCAAAAGATAACCTCTTGGTAAGAATTAAATGTTATAATTACTAAAAACAACAACTTTAGTTTAATTTGACAAATTCTCACCTTCATATATATTTTTTAGTACAATATGTGAGGTGGGAGATCGAACTCACAACCTCTAATTGGAGATAAATATCAATTATTACTGGGTTATGTTGGCTTTGGTCACCTCCTTATGTTGTTGCATAAAAGAAAATAGATAAAAATAACTACTTTTAAGTTTTTTTATAATCTAGAGCCTAAGTGTTCTTCCCCCTGCCAGGATAGTGATATTCTTTCTTCCGCACCTTTCTAGATGCTTCACTAAAAATTGCAAGGATGTGCTTCCTGTGCTACTGCATATAGTCTTGATTTTCTTTTCTTTTAAAAAATGTTGTATTGTTATACCTTTATTTTTTATGATCTCATGAGTAGTTTCAACGAGCGGAAACAAATTGATTCTTATTTCATTACTTTATTATTGAAACTAATTTTCTTCTTCATCCATAGCTAAAATTAAAAGTTCATTTTTTTTTAAGTAGTAGGGTGGAGATTTCAACCTTCAATCTCATGTAGCTTAACTATGTTTTGATTGGCTAAAATTAAAAGCTTAATCGATAATTAAGTATTGATGGCATATGTAAGAAAACATAAAATCTGCACTGGAGCAATAATTATAATTAATTAAATAACAGCAGGAGAGAGAGAGAGAGAGAGCGAGCAAAAACAGAGCATATGCCTGCGCCTGGATGTTTCTCTCGCACCAAGGAAAGTAAAGTTCCTTGCTCTGTCCTCAAAACAAAACCCAAATCTTCTTCTCATTTCTTCTTCCATCTTTCAAATTCAATGGATCGCCCACTACTTCTCGCCACTCTTTTCACTCTCCTCCTCCTCCCAGGTAAAAATCCCTCCCCCCCTTCGTTTCTTAATCTTCTTCCCCTCACCATTTTTAATCTCTGTGTTCTTCGTTTTCCTTTCCCGTAGATGTTCAATCCACGTCTTTCAAGTTGGTAAACAAGTGCCGGACCACGATTTGGCCGGGTCTCTTGTCCGGCGCCGGCACGGCCCAGCTCCCGACCACCGGCTTCTCTCTGCGCAGCGGCAAATCCAGGATCGTTCCGCTCCCCAAATCTTGGTCGGGTCGGTTATGGGGTCGGACCCTCTGCGGGATGGATTCCGATGGGAAGTTCTCTTGCCTGACCGGCGATTGTGGGTCGGGAAAAGTTGAGTGCGCCGGCGGGGGCGCGAAGCCGCCGGCCACGTTGGCGGAGTTCACGCTGAACGGCGCCGATGGGCTTGATTTCTACGACGTCAGCTTGGTGGACGGCTACAATCTTCCGATGCTGATCGTCGCCAAAGGAGGGACGAGAGGCGGTTGTGCCGCCACCGGGTGCTTGGTGGACTTGAACGGAGCGTGCCCGACGGAGCTCCGGGTAGCGCGTGCTGGTGGGGGAAGGAGTGTGGCGTGTAGAAGCGCGTGTGAGGCATTCAACGCTCCGCAATTTTGTTGCAGCGACGCGTTCTCTACGCCCGACACGTGTCGACCTTCGGTATATTCGGAGTTCTTCAAACATGCGTGCCCACGCGCGTATAGCTACGCGTACGATGACAAAACCAGCACCTTCACCTGCGCCTCCGCCGATTACCTGATTATATTTTGCCCGCTGCCTTACACCAGGTAAAATTACCGTAATAGCCCCTACGAGTGTCACCATAGATTGTCTAACTCCCAATCATGTTTTGCCACGTAGACGCAATCTGTTGCATTAAGCTCTAAATCTGGAAAAAAAAAAATTGATTCAAATTGAGTGTCTTATAACACCATTAGATGCATACTTAAATATCTTATGAAGTTTTGATTCTCTCTTACAATATGTTCATTCATAGGTATTTATGAGTTGGGGAAAATTTAGAGTGATTTAATTGTAACTACTTCTTCCATTCACAATTAGAACATATCATTAAACTTTATGTTATTTTAACTTGGTAGGTATCGTAGAGTAGTGCTAGAATTTTTCTTGATTCTTCCAGTTTTCTTGGAATTGGCTGATTGAACTAATCCTATTTCACAGAGATTGATTAAGAGTTCATTAAGTTATGGAAAGAAACATCCAATCCAACTAGTTCTGTTTTGGATCTTTGTTTCAATTAAGAATTCATTGGGAGTTCTCTGCATCTGGGTGTTCAATTATGCCCATCAGTTGCATCTAGGAGTTCTTTGCATTTTCTTCTTGGTTCTTAGATTCAGAGCTCTTTTTGTCAAGCATTTGGTTGCTGAAAATGCTAGCAGACTCACTGTTTGCTTCTTAAGAACATGATGATCCAACCAAGTGATTGAAGAGGCAAGCTGATGACTCAAAATTCTTGAGGTTATAGATTCAAGTGAGGGTAGACCTTAAAAGAAATTTTCAACGTCAAAATGTGAGTGTCAAGCAGTTTTCTTACAAGATTAAAGTCAGTTGAGCCCCCAAGAGACAGCCCAATTGGTAAAGGTTTTGGGATCTCTCGGTCATACTGGTCTAGAGGCCTCAAGTTCGAACCTAATGAGTTTAATACCAAAAACCCTTGATGTCTCCCAGGTCCAAGCCTTGGGACGGGTACGGGTGCATCTCGGGTATTGGGGGCAGAGATCCGTCTCCCAGTTATTAACAAAAAAGAGAAAAGAAAAAAAAAAAAGATTAAAGTCAGTTAAATGTTTTAGTGTCATTTGCCTTGAGTTTGATTTATCGTCTGCAGAACATAAGATATGACAACACTAGCATTAGCATCTTGTGAAGTCTGACCTTGCCCTTCTGTGGGAATTAAATTGCAGCCAGAAAGTGTTGAGTGCACGGAAAGACGGGGCAGCGTTACCGCTGGTGAACAAGACGATGATGTACCTGAGAAGCCGAAGAGCGAGCGGGGTTCTATCTACAGGTTTAGTGCAATACTAATGCTTATAACCCAACCAAACTCTGCTGCCTCTACTGGCCATCTTTTACAGCCCCCCTCTGTTACTGACGTTGGCCTTCCCTGTAATTTTCAGGCAGATAGTTTCGAAACGAATCATCGACAAAGAGGTAAGTTATGGTCGTCATCTCTTGTCCCTCCGGCGACTTCCTAGATGAGACATTGTGTATCGAATTGAATATAGCGGAGTTAGCAGCCATATATTAGCCACCATACTCAAAATTTCAAAGCTTTTGTGTACATAGTTCAAAACATGTCATTGTTTTGGAAAATTCAGCTGAGTAGCATTCAATTTTTGTTCTGTTTTGTCGAGGATTTTGCAGTGGTCTTGTTTAATTCCCCAAATCTTGTTAGTTAGAGACACAGACAGAATAAAATGTTGAAAACAAAATCTATAATTTTGAGCAGTCAAATGTTTTTACTGCAAGGAGTAAGACTGTAAGAGTTATAACCGACACACAAAATTTATAAACATCAATTCCGAAGTTGCTCAATGCTAACTGTTGGGGCTTCTTCAAAGCTTCACGTGGTTGGATTCTCTCCCCTCCCGTGAAAACAGGAAAAACGACATGTAGTGCAAGCGTGCAGATATAATGGCACTCTGAAAGCAACCACCACATCGATCTGTCGTTTATGAAAGATGACCTCTGAGAAGTACTGCTGGAATATGGATATTTCTAGTAGCATCATGTTAAAAATGATAATGATACTGACAGGGTGAACAATAAATTGAAGTAGTTTCAACACATAGCATTGAATTTTTTAAAATTTTATTTTAAAAGTGATGTAGGTATTCTTCCAATGATATCAAAAAATATATATATTTATGGAAGAAAATTCATAAAATGAACGTCGAGAGGAGGTACTATGGGAGTATTAGAAAAGATGAGTACGATATTGTTGATTGGATCCGGGTAGGACAAGGCAAACCATTTGGAGAAGGATCCGACCCGAGAGGACCACATGGTATGTTGAATTGTCCAAAGCATATGTGACCCCACAAGATTAAAAGAGCAAGGACAATAGGGATGGCAATGGCATGAACCAAATTAACTGTTTTCTTTTTATATTTATATTTTTTGAATGAGAGATGAGAAAAAAGTAAAAAATTTTAATAAAATGTGGGAAAAGGCATTTTAATGAAAAGGGTAAAAGGAGGTTGAATTATTTTTAGGCGCAAAAGAGTAAGGAAAGGAGGATATAAAGTTGAGATTCACAAAGATTACAAGAGTGCAATCCATAAACAAGGATTCAAGTAAAAATTTCTTCACTTTTTAATCATTGTTAAATATATAATAAGAGATTTGATTAGACACCAAAATCACTTGCTTTACTAATTACATGCTCAAAATGAGATTGATTTATGGTTATAGCTCATCTCGTGTCTCTTTAACCACTAAATTCAAAATCTTTTGGCAAACAATGATATTATATATTTACCAAACATGTTATGAATGTACATTGTTCTTTTACCTAGTTATCGCGAATGGAACCAATGGGATTAAATTTCAACATTAATCATGAGAGAACAAAATTATAGGTATATAAGCGAGAGACAACAAACTCTATTGGTATGAGGTTTTTTTCTTTCTTTTTTTTCCTTTTGTTTAATCCTTAAAAAATTTATGTATTTTTTTCATATTTTATTTACTTGGACTTGTTGTTCTTGCTTTTTCAAATTATATGAAGTTTTCACTCTTACAATTTTCGTTTGGAAAATAACTTAGGGAAATGATTGCTTTGAGGATGAGGCATTAGCGTACGGACTCACTTTCTTCCCTTTCACCTTCTTAGTCTAATATCGTCGAATGAAACTTTTTTTTAGGATTGTTACAATACTATAACTTGGATTCAATATAATCAAACAATTCGATAAGATAATAAAACTTTTTTTATTATATGAAAGTTTGAAGTATTAGCTTCTACATTATATGAGCTTAAACTTTGTGTATTAGATTATATTCTTCATTAAAAACAGTACAACACAATTATTTCCTCATACAACGACAACTTTTGAATGAGAATAATACGAGGATAATTAAAAAAAAAATGTCTTTCTCGGCAAATAGAGATTATATTCCTTGATTATGACTATAAAACTTTTTGTTACATATTTTAGTATTTTATATTAAAATTTTTCATCCACATATTAATTACATAATTTAGATACATATATGGTTTTAACGGCGGCTTTTTTTTTTTTTTTTGACAATGAAGGCAGTTGTATTAATGAATGGTTAAATAATTTAAAATATAATAAATATGTATTTTTCCAATTTAGTCCTTTTATTTAAAAAATTTCAACTTAGTATTTAATTCTTAAAATTAGTTTATAATGAACTTATTCAACGGTTTTGTAATGTGAAAAATTAGAAAAGGAAAAAGGTCATATAAAAGGGAAAATTATTCCATTCCTCAAAATTCTAGGGAGATATTTCAAAAAAAAATTTCTATCATAGATTATCTTTTTGTCTCTACCAAATTTCTATCAATCTACTAAACATGATGTAATTTTAGTACAACATGTAGGGTGGGGGTTCGAACTCATGACATTTTTTTGTCAAAGATATATGCCTTAACCACTTGAGCTATGTTCGGTTTGGCGGAATACCATCTTTAAAATGGATGATTTGATTTCATGCATCCCACAACTTCTGAACTCACAAAATTCGTATAAACAAACTTATTTCTAGATAATAAAATCAAGGTTAAAAAATATATTTTATTCCTATACTTTTACTAAAGTTTCGATTTAGTCCTGAACCTTAGTTGGTAAGTTTGTAACGATTTAGTTATTGTATTTTTAAATTTGTAACAATTTAGTCTCCAACGTCGAAAATTTTTGTCAAAATTAAGTATCTATTTTTATCTTATAACAATTTAGTCTTTGTAATTTATAAATACATTTGATCATTCATCAATTTATCTATCTAAGTGTATAAGAAATTGAACAAAATTTTCCACGGTAGGGACTAAATCGTTAGAAATTTAAAACTACTAGGACTAAATTGTTACATATTATAGTTTGATGACCAAATTGTTACAAATTCGAAAGTACCTGAGCTAAGTTAAGTGACTAAATTGTTACATCTAACTTAAAATAAAAATATGTATTTCTAGTATTTTAATTTTTTAAATGTGGCCCTAACAAATAACAGTAATTAGTAAAGGAAATATGGTGGTTGTTTTTTTTTTTTTTCTTTTCTTAATTTTAAATAAGCGCACTAATTGAAACATGAAATATATATTAGGGTCAATGCATGAAAAGAAGGGGAAGAAATGCACTTGTAGGAGGAATCCAATGCTTTTGCTCTTAATTACGCTTCACCAACCTCTGGCCCTACGTATTCATGCGGCGCTCATCAACGCTCACCATCCTCCTACGTGTCACTTCTTCCACCCTTGATCGTCCGGCCCCACTTCTCATTTTGTCTCCATCCAGCACCTTCCGCTTTTCGGTGGCTTTGGATGTGACACGTAAAGGGACTTTTGTGGGCCCATCTTTTCCTAAAACTCCATCTCTTTTCCTACTTTACACGTGGCGAGTCGTGATTGAATATTGTTGATGACTTATACGATGCTGCTGTAGGGTTCGCCGTACTGGAACAGACTGTATCAACTCTCCTACACCTCACTCGCACCCGATAACTCCACTTTCCTTTTTTCCATTTTCCAGATAAAAAATTGGCTGCTTTACGCTAATGCACAAATATCAGATTTTGTAGGGGTAGAAGAGAAAATATTGAAATTTAAATCATACAGAATTTACCGTGGTCAACACGTATTTTTAACTCTAAGAAATTTTATTTGTTACGACGAACTTCCTGAGAAAAACGTATGAATGGCTTTCCGAGATTATTTTTTTAATATTATCTGAGATGTTGAAGCAATCATATCACACGAATTTGGATATGAAGACTGCTTTCATGTTTATATCTTTTGATAAGTGAGATCCACTTTGTTTGATAATCTGATGTGAGTTTTGTTCCACGTAATGGAGTGACAGCTGATACAAGTTTACCTCTAGACATCTAACTTGTCATCGACTGTTGCTGAGGTCATGTGACTCGTGTTAAAGTTTGAGGTATTATTTTATTTTTCTGACTACTCAACCAATAGTGTCAAATTTTAGCAAAAACAAATACTTGCTAAACTTATTTAATAATTTTTTTTTGTATAATTATGAGAAAATAACTCATTTGACTCTTTTAGCATTACAATTAAAATATGGATATGAAGATTTAAATTTAAATCTAGGACGGACACGAGCCCATACCTTAATTAATTAAGGTATATTTAAGTTCGTATAAATGTCTCCGATGGTAGATGTTTATGTGGTAAATTATTTGAAATGTATTAAATTATTAAATTAATCTTAGACTAATTGCCCATTTATGAGTAGGAGTATATTATTCAAAAAACTCTTCCTTAAACTTAAATTATATATTGAAGGATTAGAATGATTCGTATCTATATGGAGCTTTTGTTGAATTTGTGGATCTAATCATGTGTAATCTAAAAAGAGAAACTTTAGTTAAGATATAAAAGAATATCATTCAAGAAGAAATTAGTAGAGGGATAGTCCTAATAACTCGTATTTAGGCCCACACTCTTGATAAATGAAACCCAACTTCAAGATTTAACTAATAATTCCATTCCCATTGAGAAAAAAGTATTAAGTTTTTTAATGTGCAACATGTCTCAATTCTTAATAATTTACTTTCTACTTTTTTTTTTATAAATATAAACCTTTTTGTCATGCTCAATTTTTATTTTCAATATTCTATAACAATTAAACTTGTGGTTGTTGAAGATTTTTTGGGAATATGATATTCTTATGGATAATATCGGGGCTTTCTATCTCTTAAGATAAATTTTAGCCAAAATATATTTTGTTTAATATATTTACTTTTGTAAAAAAAATATATATATATATATCATGGAAATATATTGTTTTTAAAAGTCATTTATTATTGTTTTTAAAATTTATTTTCATGACTAAATTATATATTTTTTCCAAACATGTTTAAGCTATTATTTATTTTAAATTTGAACTTCTAAATTATAATATTAAGCGAAAAATAGCTTTCTTTTAAATATAACAGGTGAGGATGGAGATTCAAACTCACGATTATTTGGTTATACACAAGTGGAGCTATGTTCCGATTGACCGTGGAAAATAGCTTTTAGTGCTAGATTAAATTTTTATTAAATACTTTACTAAAAACTTTAGTCAGTACACCCAAATATAATTAATAAAATATTAAGAATGAAAATAAAATATTTAAAAGCATAATAATGACTCAAATAAAATAATTATGAAAATTAAGAAGCCAACATAGAGTATTTTTCAAGACCTCCCAAGAAATAATTTTGGTTATAAACATCGATTTATAGAAAATAAAAATTATTAAAAAAAAACTATCAGTATATTTGACTCACGCTTGAGCTTTCAAGTATAATATCTAAATTTGTCTGTTCCAAAGTATAGGTTTTATTTATTCTCAGGGATTATATAAGTTAAAAAACACTAACTCATCAAATATAATTTTTATTATTATTTTTTTTTAGCATCAGTACCTAATTTTTTTTCGAATCACAAATCTAAATTCGTTGCAATAAAAAGAAATATATAATTCTTTTTTCTTTTTTGGGTAAAAAAATGATTGCGTAATGGCGAGAAGATCCATTATTTTTCAGTGGTCTATTTTCCATTAAACTCTCCAGTTGTGTTATCTCCTTTGAGTATTTATTCAAGAAAATCAACTTTATGTCATAACTTCCCCCGCTCTGCATTTCAACAAATACCATTTTTTCAATAATTATGTCCCAACTTTATCATAAAATATCCAAATAATAATTTAACTTTTCCACTTCTTTATATTAATCTTCAATATGGTCATTGTCCCAACTATTTTCACCATCTGAGTTATTTCTACTTTTTTTTTTCAAGGTGAGATTCCACTTTGCATCATCATCAAGTTGAGGTTGAATTTACATTTTCAATTTTTAATTTTTTAAAAAATATTTATCAATATCGATATTTTATGAATATTTTTATAGAGATTTTCGCATAATTGACGATTCAAGAATTCTTTAAAATCTTTATTTTGGGCTGTTTTTATTTACATAAAATTGTTTGTTAATAATTTATTTATTTTGTTTTACCATGGATAAAGTGCTTTTGAAATATCAAGGAGATCTTAAGTAACAATAATTAAACTTTTGAAAATTACCTTCCTTAATTTTTAAATTTAACTTATAGTTTTATAAAGTAGATTGTAATATAATAAAAACACTGCTAAACCTTTTTAAAAAACCAAATATATATATAATTCAAACATGCCCTATAAAAAAGTGTATCTTAAAATTCTTTAGATTTTTTTTAAATATTTTCAAGACTTAAAAAGATTTTTAAAAATTAGGAAAATAATCAAAATAACTTATTCTTTTTTTTTTCTCTTGAAAATAATGATTTCATTAATTTAGTTTAAGATGACACTTGCGCAACATAAGTGGAAAAGTCCCTCACAATAATAAATAGTATTATCATTTTTCTTAATGTAATTTTGATGTTTAATTGTTGCTATCCATCCTTTTGGGGAAGGTTAAAATAATTCTATGGAAATATATAATATTACGAAAATAAAGACAACTTTTCCCATCATTGGAAGAAGGGAAATTTTCGAATACTACAACTTTAAAAAATTCCACACACTCATCAATATTATATTTTATTATAAAATATTATTTTAAGCGGATTATAATTAATGAAAGCCATGCTGGGTAACTATTTCTGTTTGATCAAGGATCGTGAAGTTCAGATTGAGACGACCGACAAATGAAGAGACTTGTAGAAGAGAATGAGAACTCTGACACCCAAGTCCATACTTATCTAATCTATTGCTCGAGAGGTAGTTATTTAACGTATCTGAGAAGTGGAGAAGAGTCATTTATTTATAGAGGTGAACTTCTTATAAGGCATCTGACACTGTAACAACAGTTCTTTGACAGCATCAGGAATCCTAGTGTGTTGTCTGAAATTCAAATGTAGGTAAGTGCCTGTTTGTGCTTTAAGAATGTCGGCCAAGATAGAAAATATAGGTCGGCCCGATATTGCTTGCTTAGCTATGAGTAATCTTCATTCGGATTTTCGCGTAATTATGATGGATGATTGAAAACTTTTGGATGCATATTTGGTCGACACATAGCAGTTGATAATTGGGCTCCAACCATTTTGTTTTTGATTTTCTATTTTTAAAAATTAAATGCAGAAACATAACTTTTGTTCCTTTATTTTGTTATATAGTTTTAATAATAGCATTTTCAAAATCTAAGTTAACTTTTTTTAAGTTTTCATAAACTTGTTATTGTTGTGTTTTTTTTAAATGATTTGACTAAAAATTCAAACATGTTTTCAAGAGAGGTGAAAACGTGCCTAATGAAATTGTACAAGAACATATGTATAATTTTTTAGATAGAAAACTAAAAATTAAAAACAAAATAGTTATCGAACAACATTTAGATAATTAAACTGTTTCCAATGTAGAAGGTTCGTGTGTTTCATTCATCTGCATATTTTTTACTCGATCAAAATTTTAATAAAGTTTATTTTATCATAAAATCCTAATTGTAGAACACTGTCAATCTAAGCATAAATGAGATGTGTTTCTACCGAATTTTGATGACTCATGAGCTTGGAAAAAACAGGGTAATTGCTAGGAGGAAGGGCAAAAAATAACAAATACTCCGATGTCAAGTTAGGTTCAATCCGATCTATTTGATTGAAGATGATCAATCAAATTTATATACCTACATGTGAAGTCGACTTTGATATTTATAGGCATTGGAGAGCGTACACCGTTCACTTACCATTTAGCACGTCACATGTTTTCCGACATGAATTTAGAGATAGTGATGAGTGGCGAGTTACGGAGCAGTTGGAGTTCAGTTTATTGTTTCAGTGTTCCATCTTCTCTTAGATTGGACATTGATGAGATACTTTAGATCGGACTCGTCTTGTAGAGGTAATGGTACCTCAACTATTAATAACTCCATCTCTTTCCTTATCACGTGACAAATATTTTCACTCTGCACAACAAAATGGATAATACATCTATTATCATCTAAATGGTCGATAATCCCTCATCCACCTTGCAATTGTTGAACTCATAGACTTTAAAGTTTATAACACAGTCTTCTTTATGAGTTAAATTATAAAATTAGTAGGCCTTCCTTTTTTCCTTCTAGAAAATTCAAACTTAACTAATTTTTGGTCTAAGATAGATGCTGTAACCAGTTGAACTATAATGACATGTCTAATAGACGTTTAAATTTTGCATCTAATGAATATCTAACCTAACAGCGATAACCTTATAATTTAATCTATAACCCACAATGCAAACACGACATCGGAGGTTCAAACCTCCGTATCCAAATTTCTTACCATGTGTCTAAAATGGGGGGAAATAGAGGTAGAAGAAGAAGTGTGTGAAAAAAAAGAAATGGGAAACATCAATAATGGAAAGAAGAGAGAAAATAGAGACGAAATCCCCAAATATTATTATTTTTCCTGCTCCTGCTCACATTCACATGCCTTCTCCTTCTTCTTTTTCATTCTGTCTCTCTCTTCTACTGAACTGAATCTCCAACCAACGCCTCCTTCTTCATTCTCTGCTCTGTTTCTCAAATCCCTTTCCATGGCTTCCTCCTATTCCGCTCTCATTATAGCTTTTCTTCATCTACTCGCCACTTCCATGGCTGCAACCTTCACCTTCGTCAACAGGTGCGATTTCACCGTCTGGCCCGGCATTCTCGCCAATGCCGGCAGCCCCACTCTCCAGACCACCGGATTCGAGCTCCCCACAGACTCTTCCCGCTCTTTTCTAGCTCCCACCGGCTGGTCCGGCCGATTCTGGGGCCGGACTTCCTGTTCCTTCGACGCGTCCGGTTCCGGATCCTGCATCACCGGCGACTGCGGCTCCGGCCACGTTGAGTGCAACGGCGCCGGAGCCACCCCGCCCGCCACTCTCGCCGAGTTCACTCTCGGTACCGGCGGCCAGGACTTCTACGACGTCAGCCTCGTCGACGGCTACAATCTACCCATGATAGTCGAGGGAACCGGCGGGTCGGGTCAGTGCGCGTCCACGGGTTGCTCCACGGATCTGAACCGGCAGTGTCCGGCGGAGCTGAGGGTCGGCGAAGGGGACGCGTGTAAGAGCGCGTGCGAGGCGTTTGAGACGGAAGAGTACTGTTGCAGCGGCGCGTACGGTTCACCCGCCACCTGCAAACCCTCAATCTACTCGGAAATGTTCAAATCGGCTTGCCCTAGATCCTACAGCTACGCCTACGACGACGCCACCAGCACCTTCACCTGCTCCGGCGCCGACTACACCATTACATTCTGCCCCTCATCTCCAAGGTAATCTAATCAACCTTCTCTTGAAACTAAGCACATATCTTCGGTTCATAGTTTCAGCACAAAATCTTTTGGCCCAGAAAAATATTAATCAGAATGATGATTCGAGTAAAGAAGATGGGTGGAATGGAATTCCCTTTTTGGCATCTGGGTTTCTGACGATCTGTTAAAGTATGATTTTAATCTGTTATTTTAACTGATAATGGGATTATATATTAATGCCAGTGCCATACTGCCAAATATTCTCTTTTAGTAGAATACTTTGTCCATTAGTTGTGGAGCATTTGGGGTTTATTGTGGTTGGAAATTGGTATGTATGCTGCTTTTAACATTGAATTGACTGTATTAACTTTTTTTTAGTGTTTATGCTTTCAACAAAGAATATGACACTAAATTTACATTTTCCTTAGAGATTAACTTCTTGTGGCTCATTCTAACTTGTGCAGCCAAAAATCATCAAGCTTTCCTACCCCAACAACAGCAGAAACATCTCAAGGGTTCGGATCTGAGACTGGGTCTGGGTCGGGGTCGGGGTCGGAATATGGGATGGGGTATTCAGGAGCATCTGGAACTGATATGTTAGGGGCAGGTGCCAGTTCAGGTTCAGGATCGGGGTCGGGAACTGGGGAAACTATGCTAGCAGATGGTTCATGGTTGGCTGGTTTGGCCATGGGAAACTCAGCAAAAACAGTATCGTCTACATCCACTCCACTGTGGATGGCATCATTTATAGCCATTCTATCTTCTCTCTTCTTGTAGCCCTCTCCAATTTCCCCCAACTTATGGCTTCAGCGTCAGGATTTGCAGTTGGTAGGAACGGTAAGGATCTTCCCCAGATTGTAAAATGCCATCTTCTTGAATGATTCATTTTCTTTTTAGTTTGAGAATGTTTTGGTGCTCTTTTTTCATTTGGGTTTTGTTGTTCCCTTCCAAAGCTGTCATTGGGTTTCTGATTTAGATTGGAAGTTTGTTCCTTTTGATTACTTGAATCAGGAAGGAAAGAAATGTTTCTGAATCAGAACATTGTTTGTGGTGTGAACAAGATGACAAGCATGGCCGGTTTTGTAACAGAGAAGGATCGCTTGGCCTGTAATGCAAGTCACAGGTCACAGCTTTGGCTTTTTGTATGTCAGCTGAGGGAAAAAAAATGAAAAAGATGCAACTTTTCAAAGTCCCTTTAAGTGTACTATTATTTTGGTTTAGTGGAATGTGAAATTTTGTCAAGCAGTGGAGAAAGACAGATCATTTAAGTTGGGGATCGAATCTCTAATGTGAAAGTATGATAAGGGAATGAAATCAATTTGATTAGCTCTATTTAACGAGAGAGAGAGAGAGAAACAACTTCGAAAAAATAGTAATCCAGATTTATATTTCACTTTTAACTTCCAATTGCAACATTTCTTCTACAACTGAATGCTGAAGTGTTTAGTTTCATCTCCAACTGAGACAGGGAAAGTTGAAGTAGCAGTTCTGTTTTCATACTTAACACTCACTTCGTATTCACCCAAAAATCCATAAAAACTGAATGAACCATGGTCATCTGTCCGAGCTTCAATCTCCCCAGTTTGCCATTCTTTCAGGAGCTTGTCAACCACGTCGCCCGCCGGAAGGTTTCGAAAGTCGCTGTCTGTTAAGCACATCTGGTAGCACCCTTTCGGATGCAGCGCCGCCCACAGCACAATCCCGCCCACGGCGGGGTGCGAGAATCCTTCACTCAGCACAGCCTCCAAATAAGCAGCCTAAAAATGAACGATTAAATGGTTAAATATACTGTAACCTCTTCGTTCAAACAAAATGAAGTTCTCAGGCTTCAGCAAATAGATTCTGATGCAATTAAACGGCTAGTTTTACCTGTGTTTCTTGGTCCAGAGTTTTGCTGATATCAACCTCTGTGAGCCAAACTGGAAGCTTAAGAGTGGCCAATTTGTCCAAAATGGCTCTCATTAAAGGTGGGTTGGGGATGGTGAAGTGACCCTCCAATCCAATCCCATCCATTGAAACCCCATTTCTTTTGAGATATTTAAGCCTGTCAATGTAATTGTCAACAGTGGAATTCACATCACCACAAGTCTCCACCACATTGAACTCATTCATAAACAAAGTAGCCAATGGGTCAATCTCATGTGCTGTCTTGTAGAAATGCAAGGTTGCATTGGGGCCAAGGCTCTTCTCATAGAAATCAAAATGCAGCATCTCATTGCTCACATCCCAGTGTATGAACTCATCTCTGTACCTCCCCAAAAGCCCCTTTATCCGCGAATCAACAGCCGACTGCAGCCCCGCTGCGGTGAGGTTCCGAACCCACTGCGGCGTGTACTTGGGGTCCTCCCAGAAGATGTTGTGGCCTCTGGCAGTTATCTGGTTGGCACGGACAAACTCCAACATCTTATCAGCTGTGGTGTAGTTGAAAGCCCCTGGTTCAGGCTCTGTGGCATACCACTTCAGTTCATTTTCAAAAACTGCTGCATTGAATCGCTTCACAAACCAATTCTGGAAAGTGGAGTTTTGAAGCTAATGAGAGATTGGATTGAGAAATGGATCAAGAACACAAAAGTGACTGATTTTTTTTTTTTAGCTAAATTACCTGATAAGGTAAGTTTCCTATGATGGTTTTTGCAATTGCAGATCCAAATGGGAAGTCTTTAGAGATTTGCTTTACATTAATTACTGCCCCTTCCAACCTCCCCCCTTGTTTATCTGAAACGTGAATTGTCACTGCTCGTTTCCTCACCTGAACAACATTATACAATTGCATTTCTATCAGTCCAATGATTCATTCAAGGCCATTTTCTTAGAGGATAAAGTGAAGAAACCCAGTTTTTGTTCTTACAGTATTGACCATGTATTGCTGATTTCCCCTCCACCCTTCTTCTGTAAACGGCTGTAAAGAAGCATTTTCTATCGCTATATTGTCATCTCCATCATCAAAAATCTGTCAAAAAAAAATAGGTAAATTCAATGAAGACCCATTAAAGTAAATTGAAGGCCTTTTGTTCTGAATCTATTTCTCATTTCATATGATTAAATACCTGAAAGAATAGAATAGAGAAATTGGAAGGCGAATTTAGAAGGAACCCTCCTTTGAGAAAAGACCAACAGCCACGCCTGGCCAAAACAGTGCCTATGCAGTTGTAGGTTTCATTCTCAATCCTAAGGCTTGCTCTTACAACAGTTGAAGAAACTGCTCCACCTAGCTTCACCCAACCTAAACAAAACCCCAAATTAGCCACAAAATTTTAATGGGCCAAACAGCATTGGGCTCAGTGTTTGCTAGATTCTGATTTCAAGGCCCAATAGTTACTTTGAAGAAGAAGGAGAAGGAGGTTACTTTACTTGAAAAGGAATAATAAGTGTTGTCAGTGAGATTGCTCAGGAGAAATGCTGGTGAATAAACAGCACTGGAAGAGGAGCCGCCAATGGTTTGAACACTGGCGGGCTGATTTCTGAGGATTCCTCCATTGTAGAGTGGTCTCTCTGGACGTAATTGACACTGTAAAAAACAAAACCCATTTGGAAAAAGAGCTCCTTTTCACCTTCCCTCATATTAACAGAACAAAGTTTCAAACTTTAGGCACAAGGCATCAGATTTCTGTGCTGAAATATTACCTCAGTGTGAGCGGTGTAATCGTACAAAGGCCCATCTGCAACAAACCAAACAAACCACAAAAAGATAAGAAACCATCAGCACAACACAAGACTTTTCCCAAGAAAATGACAGAGAAAACAGAGAAAACAGAGAGAGAGAGAGAGGAAACCGTATGAAGCAGCAAGAAGAAGAGGGTGAAAGAGGAAGACGAAAAGCAGAAGAGGAAAGAAGAAGGGAAGAAATTTTGTCATGGTGCATAGAAAAGAGGGAAATTTTGAGGGTTTTAAAGGGGAAGAAGAGAAGAAAATCACAAGGGAAACAGTGAGAATCTTCTGTCTGTGAGACTTCGAGAGAGGGCAATGAGCAATGAGAAACCTCTCTCCCGTGGGTTCTGTTCAGAAGCTCTTCTTACTTACGCCATTTTCATGTGACCCGTGCCATAAAAAGACAGATCTTTGCCTTGTTATTTTGTCACTAAATCATCTAAAATGCTGGTCATGGTCGCATGGACTTGTTTCTTTTTGACAAATTGTATAAAATATTGTCTCCATTCTTCAACTTTCAAATGATTTAATCAGCTTTGTTACAATGTTTTGAGTCAAATTCCATGATCCTCAGAGTGATGGGAGTCTAATCTTGTTGATTTCCTATTTGATTGAGTAATTATGTACTTTTAACTAATTACTTTTTGGGGATCTCTAAGACTTACTTCAATGACTGTTTCATTCAAAAAGACATCAATTCTTTTAACAGAAAAAAAAATAATAAAATTTTGGGGACTTGCTTGTAACCATTGGAATAATTCAAGATGTATTTTATAATTTTTTTAACATGCAGAAAAGTTATTTAATTACTCCAAGCTTGTATTATTATAGATTTAGAAGGTATAGTTCATCAAACTAGCAAAAATTCAAGTGATTACTTTTGATTGACAACTTCGAGTGGAGATATGTCCGCCAACTTGAACATACGTTAACTAGTGAAAGCATATTATTATTGACCAAAAGATTAGAATTCCCAATCTAAATTTGGAGATGTCATATTTCTACTAATTATCAATAATTATAGATCTTTTTTTTATTAATTTCTCAAAATTAATAACGTGTGGCTTGTGTTGAGTGGATCCCTATAACGAGGGATCATTACGGTACCTGAGTTGAGCAATACAATGACCAATATGTAGTTCGAAATTGGTACCTAAAAAATCACCAGCCAAGAAACTAATGACTATGTAGGAGTTCCTATAAAAGGAAAGTTATTTAGGACACGACCACTCTCATATTAGAAGAAGATTGTTTAGGACAGGAGCACCCTCAAAACTGAGAAGGGTTGCTTTTTAAACACAAAAATTAAATAAAACCATATGAGTTGACTAAGTGTGTTTTATTTTTGTTCAAATAGAGAAAAATAAGGACAAATCATGAAAGTATATTGCCCGCCCAAGTTAGGGAATTTAGGGATGTTGGGCAGTTGGTTTTGGTTTGACTTTGTATGAATTTCTCAAAACTGAACAGTTTCAATTTTTGACCAATAAAAACCAAACCAATCCGTTTTAACAATTTAAAGAAAGGAAAAACTAAGACTAACAAACCAAACAAAATTTGGCTTCATTTGATTCTTTACATCATTTAGAACAATTTTATATTCGCTGTTCAAAATGAATTTAACATATAAAAAGGTAAATTGATACCTCACAAAGTAACGTGGAAAATAGATAGGGATGACAAAAATACTCGCGGGACCCGATCCCTCGGGTACCGGACTCGATCTGGTCAGAGATTCTCTAATTTGATCGGAGACGGGGACAAATCAGGGATCCCAATCGGGTTCCCGGTGAGGACGGGCCGGGGACAGGGATTGGTCCCCCGCTCCTGTCCCGTTTAAAATTTTACTACTTTTTCTAGTTTTTTTATATAATAATATTAATATATATTAATTTTATAAATACTTTTTAATTGTTTAAAAAAAACTCAAGCTAACAGAGTAACTTTTTGTTAACTTTTTATACTAATAATAACAAAAATTAATTAAAAAAAATTTAAATTCAAATTTAAAAATTAAAAAAATATATTTATAACGGGGATGGGTTCCCCAGGAAACCGTCCCCGATCGGGGAATCCCGCCCCCAAAATTTCGGGGACGGGGGCGAGGATGGGGATGGCCCCCCGGCTCCGCTTCACCCAGTTACTACCATCCCTAAAAACAGAAGTAGTTAATTTACAAGTAAGTGTGCAAACACAAGAATGTTTATGAAAAACTTCCAATCGGAGAAAAACCACAGCCAAGAAGAAATCCATAAAAAAAAAAGGAAAAAAAACTTCTCTCAAAATTTGATGTCACTTACACGACTAGATTTAGGGCGTATTTGAGAGTGATGGTAAGATAAATGATCAATTTGTATTAATGATTAATGAAGTGGGGAATGATTTTGCCAATGACAAAGATTAATTTTGACTATTCAAACCTGGATCCCTATAGTTTGTATCTTTGGAAGGTGGGATTAGAAATCGTAGAAAAGAAACACTGCAAAATTAAATGTGCAAACTTTGAGTGGGTTGATATTGGAAAAGAGAGAGACAGAAAATGGAGTATGGTCCCAAAGTTGAGGCCATCCCTTTTGATGGGCTGGAAGTACGTGGAAAATGAAGAGAGGTTTCCAAGTTCCAAAGTACATTCATTGCATTATTTTGAGTGTTTTGTGTTGGAGAAGCAAAGTGGGAGGCTTCACTACTCGTCTATGCCCATGGCGTGCGCAGCTTATGCTTCCAATGCAATCCCTCATTATTCACATTCCTATTTGGAACCAAACCTTTTTTCTAAATCTACAACGACACCTATCTCGCCAAGTAGCAACACACGAGCATACACATCATTTTGAACTAGATGTAAAATAACGACACGAGATCAAACACCTTCATAAATTGAAGGAGAAGGACACCAATAACATATATGATCTCAAGTTGATAGACATTCACATATAGCGTTAACTAACTTAGAAAAGACTGTTTAAGGATATAACCATCAAATTGAATCACATGTGCCAAGGTATCCAAGAGCCCTTAGGACAAAGGGCAACCCAAGCACTCTAGATAGAAAATATTCTCGGGGTTGCAAGATTCCATATAGTAGTATATCATCTATCCCCAAATTGGGAGTTACAACTACCACAAAAGCTTACACCTCCGAAAGATCAATAGAGATGCATAATCACTATCACGTACGATGCACCATCTAGACCTAGAAATCAAAGACTTCCATGAGGGACTTTAATACGAATCTAATTGGCGATCAATTACATGTTGCTAATTCACAAGAAGAGACAGAAGATTATTGAGCTAAACTTCCTTTACAATGTTAGTAGAATACAAATTTATATTCCCATTTCCCTGTGGACCTCAACCCAAACTCAGGAAACCCCCAATTTAATATTT